AAGATCTATAGTTTATAAAGACTCTTTTCCCTTCTTATAAAAAGCTTTCTATTTAATAAGATAAGAATAAATATATTATTATAGAAACTAAAAAGTATATTAAGAAAACTAGCTATATTAACTAGTTTATTTAAAATACCTATATTAATATTACTTACTATATTAATAAGCTTTATTAAGTTAATAGAGGTCTATTTTAAATATATCTATATTTTATTAAGTACCTCTTCTACTACTTCTAAGGAACTATTTATTATAGTATTATTATTAGTAGAACTAACCTAAATTAAACTTTAGTACTTTATAGTATAGTAAACTTTTTATTTATTAATAACTAGCTAATTTATATCTTAATAAGAGGATATATTATCTTCTTTAGTAATATTTTTATTACTTAGAAATTTAAGAAGTAGATATTTATTACTCTTAGTATAACTAAAGTAGAGTTTATTAACTTAATACCTATTAGCCTTACTTTTAAATAGATTAAGAGATTTATTAAGTAAATATTTAATACTAAGATAAATACTTCTACTCTTCTCTTTATAAATAGTACTAATATATACTTTTATATTATAAATCTACTAAATTAGGTTTATACTTACTATATTAATATTTAATATAAATAGATTATTAAGGAAGTATTTATAAATAAGACCTTCTTATTTTACCTTATTAATAGTTCTAAGATAACTACTAATAGCCTTATAAAATCTCTTAAAATATAAAAATATTATAATTTTATTAAAATACTAGGATTAATAAATAGATTAGAGGATAATATAGATTAATATTAACTAGTTCTAAGATTAATTTAATCTAAAACTTTAAATTAATTAGAAAATAGGGATTACTTAATAATTTAACTAAAGATTAACTAAGTTAATATAAACTTAAAAACTCCTTATTTTTAAGTATTTTAGCTCTTAATAAGATTTCTAGCTTTTTACTTACTTTATATATATTAATAGTTACTATTAGGCTTTAGAGCCTGAGGGGTGGTATAGTAGCACCTACCTATAGGTACTATAGGTAGCCTATATAGCCTAGGGCCTAGGGTCTTCTTCCAGCCTCTAGCCAGGCAGCCCACTTAGCTAGTTTAGATCACACACACACTCTTTACTACTCGTTACGCCTATGCCTCTATACAACACCACTTGTGCCAGATCCGGACGTTCAGGTTAGGTGAATTATCTAAATTCTGATTTCTGTGCGACAGCAGTAACTCAGGTCAGAAAATGAGGAAATTCAAGTTGGCTGTGATTACTTCATCATTCAAACACAGTACCTCGCCGTTCTCCCAAGCCTCTTTCCCCAAATTGTGTGTGCAATCCCGGGCCTGAGCGGAACGCTGCTGGCATCGTCGATGAAATGGTCTTTGCTCCACCCGAGATTTTGGAGGCCCGGCAGCATAACTCGTTCCTGTTACGAGCTGCAGTCCTCAAAACATGTCCTACAACTATCCAAAGCTGTCAAAGGCAAGCGTAGTACTTGCGGGGCTTCATCATATGGAAAGCCGCAAGAACCGCACTCACTTTTAAGACCGTGGGATAGATGTACACTACAATGGACATCCAACCTCCCACATAGAGACAGGCGCACTAGCCAGTGGCAGTCAGGGATGGGAACCGTTGCGACGATGATTGCAGCGTGGCATGCACGGATCCATAATGCATCCATGCAGCGCTACCAGGCGCATCCCAGTTATCCGGGATGACTGTTACCAACATCTCATTTCAACACAGGCCACTCAGCCGGACCAAGCCCCCAACAGCATCACAGACTACCACATTGGAAGGGCTGATTGTCTCTCGAGATCCGCCAATACGCCTTGTTCGGACAAGCTCGGCATAATGGTTTTCATTTCAGACTGTTCACAATTATTATGAAGACCTCATTGCGTACACACCAGATTCACCCTGTTTTACAGAATAGACCTCCTGCGGCGAGCCGGCGGCCTTCAGAAGAGCGGCTCCTCGCCACGGGTAGTGCATCTACTTTTGGCGGCTTTGGGAACGGTTTTCTACCATTTCTCAGCACATTTCACCAATCGCAGCAACAGGGCTAGGCGATTGGAACGAGTCAAAAAATGCAGCCTGTTCGATTATAGAAAACGAAAGAGGGCGGGGATCGTTATAGGCATCGGGGATCGCAGATTTCACGTTTCTATCTTACAGTCATTGATTCTCAGCTTCCAGTCAACAACTTGCCAACGTTTTCTTCCCAAATATGCCGGATAACGCACAAAGTATGGCCGATGAGAAGCGGAGAATTCAGAACCGACTAGCGCAGCGCTGTTGCTGCGAACGGAAAAGCTGATGCCCCTCACAAAGACTCCCGACCCAACCTCTCCGGTTGCATCCTCACAGACATCATTATCGTCCGCTGTCTACCCGACTCCTGCGTTCTCGCGCCCTTTACACTCGTCGTCAAAGCATCAAGCTTCCACACTGGTAACATTCCGACCTCACTTACAAGATCCTACATGGACGAACTGGCAGTTGAACAATACCATTCATGCCTCGCCGAGCAACACTGCTAGCTTGCTTGGCCCCGTTGCAGACCATAGAACATTTCTCGGTAATGGCCTGCCTTAGCAACAATCAGCGCCAGGACGTTTCGGTCAGCAGCCGGTCGCTCTACTACACGGTGCACCTTTTTAACCGACGCAGCTCAGCCATCGGGCTTGGAACACAAAGATTCCCCACTGAGCCACCTGCTCAGGATGTGAGCTTGCCACTCACGCCAGACTTTTATCAGGTCTCGCCTTCAGTCTCCATGTCCAGTAGTCGCTGGAGTTAGACGCACATGTGAGTCCGGCAGAGAAGGGAAGGGCTACGCGGAGCCATGGATATACAAGCTAGCCAAGAGCGACCACGCACGGGTGAGAAGGAGGCCTCAGCTGGTAGCCCGCATCAACACAAGTCCGCTGATCCAGCCATGGTGTTGCGGCGTTTGGAGGACATGCCACAGACTGTACTAGACATCATAATTCTCAGCGACGGATGGGTCCCGGGGGCGTCTGCACTTAAATTGCTAGACTTGCTGCAGCTTAATACTGTACTCACATGCCTCAAAAGGGTCGGCAAAGCAATTTCCCTCGATCCATAGGAAAACCACCTCCACTGGCGTGTTCTATAACCTGATCAATACATGCGATAGGGAGCAAAAATTTGCGGTTAGAATTGTCGACTCAGCAAATATGATCACTGGATAAACATTGATTGCCTCTCCAAGCGGCAGCGTCAACCTGGAGCGAGGAGATGCAAGTCAATGTTTGCTTACCCTGACATTCAGAACAGCAAGGAACGACTTTGTTTGGCAGAGAGTATCGTGTGTACGAATTCTTGAAAACCCAGCCTGACACCGATTTCGGTCGCAAATGTACCAGGTTGTCTCAGCGCAGCACAACGTACGATTTTCATTTCGTTAAGTTTTCTCCATAAATCTGACTTTTGGCTATTGAAGCATAACAGGTTTTTGCGCTGATTGTGCTCAATTCCTGATATTGACGAAGCCGGCAGGGCTATGGGGTGGAGCTGGTAACTGCTGGGTCGCGCACAGCCGACTCGACTCACCGAGCAGTCTTGGTGTATTTTGACTGGGTGACCTTCAGCGTGCGCACGACATCCACGGAAGACCGGGAGATTGTACCTCCAGAATTCGAGATAATATAGTCTTTGTATCGACGTAACGAACTGATCATCAAAGGTCTGGCGCCAGCCGGAATCAAGAACAGATTATTTCAACTGCGTGAAACAGCTTAATCATTCTATCTATAAGTGCTAGCTGCGCCATGCTACAAATTGACGTGGCCGATTCGTTCCGTAAAGACGGGACTCAGGCTAGCATTCGGGCCAGGGGCCGAGGTGCCTCTTGTGTCAGTGGTCGCAGCAACATTGGCGAGCGCGGGTTTATTTGACGGGATGATGGGCTTCAAAGGTAGCGGACCGTCACACTGGACCCTTCATTCTGAATTTCAATTGGATCACAATGGGTTTCGAGTTGCCTACCACGGTGAGGTGCGGGGTGGGAGGAAACGCGAGAATTGCCATGGCAAATGAGCGTACTGCAAGGCACCTGACTAGTAAGCATCGCGAAGAATGCTCTTGGTATTACTGAGCGAACCCTGCGCTCGCGTTGTGCGCGAAGATGTGTGCCAGGATCAGACACTTGAATAATTCTCCAGGTACCAGGCTCAAGTTCTCAACATTACCTGCCCGAGCGCTCGAATGCCCACTCTGGATGATGCCTCACTGCCGCTATTACCGGGGTTAACACATGTGGGAACCGTACAAAGACCAACCATCCGTCTGATTGCGCGAGAGGGACGAGGTGCTGTTGGTTTGAGATTCGTAGATCAACAATCTCGGAGGTTGAACGCAAATTGTATCTGGGGAACAGACCAGAACCATAAGTAAGCTCGAACGTTTGATCCAGAAGCTTCTGCAAGTTTGCATACTTACCACATGTGCTATCCTTCTCGGCTGCGGGTCAGTCCCGTTACTGCTGACCAGTACAGAGGAGCTCTTCCAAAGCTTCTTCCGAGATGCCAAGACAGTTGTACCAGAAGTACTTGGAGGTACAGGGATCCGGAATAACCTCACCACGCAGCCCCTGATCGATCCCCACGAGGGACCTAAAATGCCGCTATTGAGTTGGATTTTCTGATGACTTAACGTACCTACGATATTCCGGGTCCACAGTGACTTCTAGGCGTGGGCAAGGACTTTTGAAGAGCTCCTCCGTAACAACCCGCTAGAACCGCCGCAGCTTCTCTCTTCGCGTCATATCTGTTCGCCATGCCACAATCATAAGAAATGATGACAAAGATCTATCACTGCTTCACCTCAACCGCCGCCACGGCACGTCCATCATGTCGCAGGTCGTCGACGTAGCCAGTGAGAGCAACCAGCAAAAGCACATTAAATTTGGGTCGTTCGTTACCGATATCGGATACGTCCAGTCCGAAGGGCTCAAGTAACGCCGCAAGTGAATGAATGCCTTCCATCAACGGTAATATGCAGCGTGATCGTACACCTGGCGTCCATCCCAGTACGAAAGTCAAGAACCAGGGCGATATTTGATCGAGAATTGGGTGAGGAAGCAATTGAAACCGTCCGCGGTCCGAAATTGCATTCACGGTCGCGTTTTGTGGTACACGCACCACACGGGGATCAACTACCTGTGGAGCGATGCCCACTGCATCTGTCAAGACACGATTGAAGGGGCGGACTGCACCGGGCACACTTACTGCGTCGAGACACGAGAGACAAGATGCCTTGCAAGCCATGGATCTAGTCTATTAACCCAGCGACCATCCTGTCGCGCTGCTCGGGCAATCTCTAGAATCCCAAAAGTTGAGGCACGGTATGTTCGGCGCAGTACCAGGCGAGCTACGTCTTTCGTCCGTTGAGCTGTCCAAGCAAGCAACGCAGCTTTGCCTGGCACTTCGCGGGATGGTATGACTGCGCCTACTAGACAAGGAACGAATTGATGACGTCCTTCGCATGGCCGAAAGATACACGCTTCTAGTTCCAGCTTCAAACTCTATGACTCCGAGAGTAATGGCCTATTTTGAAGCGCGCGGGTTGTCAAAACCATGAGGCAGGCTGGCCATCATGGCCAACTATTGCCAGTACCACACGCTATTGGACGATGTCTCACTCAGTGCGCAGGGTTATAGCCTCAGTATTTCGTTACTAACTATATGTCTCCTCGACGGCGAGATCCTTGATAACGGTGTTGGCGGCCCGCAGACGTCCGGACTTTCAATCTCGAAGATTCTCCGAAAGTCCATATTCCGGTAATTTGTGCTCCTAGAGACACCAGAGCACCACACAGCGGTTGACGTTCAACGAAGGCTGTCGACTCACTGACGTGAGTGTGATATCAAAGGGAATCGCTACCAGGGGCCACCTGTGGAGGCTGGGTCCCATTATCGATACCACCAAATTCCGGCGAAATCTGCCGCGGATCAACGAGCCCAAAGGCCGTCTGACACTTATTTAACGGAGATGCCCACTGTAACTCATGTTTCGTCTGTGTGATTTGCGCTATCGCTGGCTCGCCGGCCGGATAGATGATTATCTCGCCGCCGATGCCCAAGCCCGAGACAAGTATCGCTCTTTTACCGAAATGTATGGCTCTGATATCCGCCAGAGGTGGCATATAGTCGGAGGCACCTCCGCGCGAGTTTTCTAGCGGAGCAGTCGGGAATTACAGCCCGGTCACATTCTACCTGCGGGCGGGTCAGCGTTGCCCGGATGCGAGGCACACAGCGTGGTCCGCACCCGGCCGGACCCGCCTCTACAGGGCTGGCACCCCGGACCCGACGGCGCAGTGGAGCGTCGGCCCCGCTAAGGTACACAGAAAGTCCGAGACCCCAGATGGAGTGCGGCGTCCGAAGAGAACTGTTGCAGAGGAGCTTTTCAGGCTGTTTTTCCGAGCTTTGGGCGAATGGCGCTGGCAGCGGGCGTCTTGGGCGTGCCGAACTTTTCAGACATGGCCAGCTCGAATACAACTGCGGCTTCATGGGCCACCATACTCAACGCATGGCCTTTTGCATCGCCACATTGCACCTGGCATACACCATGACGACGCCTTTTCGCACCGCGCTCAGCAACAAAAATCATGAACAACGTGGCTTTGGGGAGCGCCGCCACGTGCTTGATCCTGATGGAGACGTGCTGCTCGTCCTGCCTAGCAAATCCGAACAAGGCGATTGCCCCCTAAGATGATTGTCTGGACGCTGGGCTTCACGGACTAGACTTGTGGTTCGCCTAATCCGTGCCCCAAAACGAGGCCGGAGGGTCAGAGCTGACTGCTAGGTATAGCGAGCTTAATAGACGGACGTAGCTTGGACAAAACCTCGGTAGCGGGCCCACAAGAAGCATACTGGTCTCATGGAAATCGGTTTTGATGTTAAAGACTGAAGCAATAGAGGAGATGGGCATGAAGAGCAAGAAAAATAAGAAGAAGAAAAAGAAGTAGAAAGCACCTTCACCATCAGAGAGACTTAAGTTGTTGGAGCATGCGATAATTGCGACAACTAATGCGCCTGAAACAAATAAGTCCCCGCTCGTTAGACTTAAAGCCAGCTGAATACCGGCCGTAGCTGACTCGTCTGTCTCTAGAAACGGCCTGGGAAGCGCGCAATTATCAGAAGCTGAAACACGCTCTTTAGTCTTAACTAGCGATAAGGCCTATGTTAATAAACCAGCCTCTTTAATCCCAACTGTTAAAATCGTTGTTTTATCGCAGCATCTCACTCTTTCATCACACTACTTCAGATCTCAACTCAGCAGGCTATGGGCAGAGACTTTACTGCACTCCAAGGGTGGCCATTAGCATAAAAGGGCAAAGGACTGCGACGCCAACGCTATCCTCATTCTGATGCAAATCTTCCATGCCAGAACGAAAGACATTCCCCGTATAGTCGACCTAGAACAGCTCGCCAAGATCGCCGTATAAGTTGAATACTACAGCTATTACAACACCTTCTTCGCAGTCCTTTAGATCGACAGCCTCCAGGAACAACTGCTGTCAGAGTATAACCGCTATTTAGTGCTATAGTCATTAGTATGAGTTGCTTTTCGTAGAGATAATCTCTTCCAGGCCGTCCCCAAGATAGCTGTTATAAAGAGTAAAGGGCCGCTCCTAACCCTTGAACTACCCTTTTTATAAAGACCAACCAGTTTATACGCTCACCATCATCTCTATGTATGCCTACTGACACTAGCAGACCAGATCAACAGGCGAAGGCAGCACGCTATAGCAGACATCTTGGGAATACTGGACAAACTAGGCTCCAATCTTCTTCGTGGGTCCACTAGATGTGACTCCAATTATTCTTCCGCCCTATTTGGCGCACTAGTAAAGAAGATAGCAAAGCACATCCTCATAGACCCGTTCCCGCGCGCACCGTTCTTAGGCTATGATATCACTGCGCTCGGGAAAGCAGTTAATGGTTTCCTAAGTCCTTGGTGGCATCACTTTGTCTATTCTGAACTGGCCTTGACGAGCTGCGAGCTTTCTAGCATATGTACTAATCTGCTCAAGAAAGGGCTGCAGGCATTCAAATGATGAGATGAAGACGATGGCACGTGGAGGAAGGTGCATTGGATCGCCGCTGCGATTGGTTCGTTGCTCCATATAATGCACACTCGCTTAGCTGCCTGCTAGCCTTTTATTCAAGTTTTATCCTGCAAAGGCCTGTTCTAAGTAAAAGCGCCTCGTCACGGGACGTACGCCTTGCTTATGTATCACTGGCGTGAGACCATTAGTACTTAGAACACCGCGGGCTTCCACCGAGAGACAGAGCAATCTAACACTTAGCACAGAGCTTCTTTTCTAGGAAATCTACCGATCTTTGTTTGAATCAGGATGGCTGAAGTTATCAGGATTCTCATAAGTTGCATTGCTATCTGTTAGCTAGTTAGGTATGGGAAGAAATCCTCACGTAAGCTATACAAGTTTTCAAAATATGCTGGAGCCCCGACCGGCAGCTGGAATATCTAGCACATCAGAGTGATATATTCTGGAACTTTATTAGAACAGCCCAGCTCTCACTCAGACGTCATAGTAAGACAGGTCGTCGCTCCCCAACGCTTCATTATACGTTAAAAAGTCATGTCCTAGAGGGAATAGAGATAAAGGCGACGTTCATTAAGCGCGATCTTTCCGCAGCCATCGATCGCCTAGGCGACGTTGCGAATAGCTCACTAACGGTTATTAGATTGTCTAAGTAGCTTCAGCATAGAGAGTCAATCCTGATGCCATTTCCGCAGATGGAAATCGTTCAGACATGCTTGTAGTTGCTGGTGTCTGCGATTCAGTTAGAAGCTTATACTTTCATGACTGATGGTCAGGTTCACGAAGCCCGAAGGGAGAATATGAGACTGCAGAAAGACATGTGAGCACCATGCAACCTCACCCACGTACTTGGGCCGACTGACGCAACGCCTCACAGATATTTCTTGAGGAAAGTCATCAAAAATGAAGTCTGGGTCATCGCGCGACTCGAGAGCCGGTTAGGAAAGGCCGACCATCGCGTCCAAAGAGGGATCATAGCAGCGTCCTTCAAGTTTGTTCAGAGGTCAATAATTGATACTCTCATTCGGCTGGGACATAGCGTAGCGGAGACTGGATTTCTGCCTAGACAATGCACTCTATTATCATTATCTGAACATTCTTTAGAGACGATGACAGTATGCAATCGATGACGAATGTTTCGATTTCTTCTTAAAACTCTGGGCTCATTCCGATGCCAGCCAACTAGCGAGGTAGAAGCTCGGCTATCAAAACTTCGAACGATTCACGATGGCCGTGAGACGGCCATGTCACAAGAGCGGACGCAATCTCACAGCCCAAACCTCAAGGCTTTCCCCAGCGCGACGACTCAAGCTACGACTGGATACGTCACATCTGCTGATGGAACTGTTATATCAGAAATGGCGACAGTGAGTAGAGATTTAGAAACAAGCATTATGTCTATTGGCGCAGTAAGTAGGCTGGGGCTGGTAGTTAATAGGCAAAATGACGATGAAGCTGTGTGGGTTACGTTTGAAAGTGGAAAGGTAATGCAGACTATAGGAAAGGTCTCCTTGAGCTGGAATGATAACAGGATATAGGCTAACGTCTGGTCACACACTGACTTGCAATGCCTCATAATAGAGCATTGCAGACTTGAGATCATGCTCGGAAAGTCTTTTGATGATAGAATGGTTGACGAGGAGCGAGAAATTGGGAACTAGCTAGCAGTATGCTATATTCAGCGAAAAGTCTGCTCGAGGCGCGATCTTCTCTATGAGTGTCATCATGCTTGAATGTAAGCCTGTTATCCTGCCTTACTGCGAGGACTACCAGCGAAGGAAGGGAGACGAATGTGGTGCGGTGTCCACAGCCTCTGACATTCTGTGACTGGTTTGTCATTTGCGAGGCGACGGTGATTGAGCATCACTGCTGTTAGAGGAGAATAAGTCACGCTACAACTCGCAAGAACATACACCATAATTTACTGTGTGTGCAATTGCCCAGTCATGGGCGATGGAAATGAAGAACGGTATGAAGACTGCTCCAAGGGTAAACTGGGGGGAAACTGGGAGCGAAGCCCGTGCCCGGGGAGTGGCGGCTTATACGTGGGCTTTTCAGAAGGGACCATGGCCGTTGCGGAAAGAGGTAGCGCGAGGCGCGCGCGCCAGCTCGTGCCGATACCCCAAGACGCGTTCGAGCTATGCATGCTTCCGGTCCCAACTGCATCAAAAGGTGTGATCCTGTTGACGTCCCCTACAGAGTGGCTTGAGTCCTGCGTAGTGTCACGTCGACCGAATGCTCAACAGGCTCTATACGTGTCCATTATGACTTACAGTGATACGCCTTCTGCAGTACAAGCCAGCGAAACGCCACTGCCCGGCATGTTTGTGGACTGGAGCTCGAAGGGCCATGCAACTGCGGACATTACTCGGCCAAGGACCGAAGCAACTTCCAGAGGTTGGGACACAGTAGAGGCGGTCATTCAAATCAGCACTCGACAGAACACTGTCTGGGACTGGCTTGTGGTCGCCGAGGATCTAATGGAGCTAACATTCAAATGGACCATCAATCTATTGAGAAGGTTTCATCTGGTAATAGACACAGGGCCTCTGAGTATTAACAACTAGGAAGGAATTAACCTTAATCTCATGCGTGCTCTCGAGGAGTCGGCTCTAAACCCACGAAAACAGGGTTCAGTTACCATAATTCTCGTACAAATCATCCGCTGTCTCCTGCTCCCCAACACATACGGCATAGACGGTCCATGTGAATCCCTTCACTACCTCGCACAACTGGGGCATAGTAACCTGGGCAGCATAGAGCGACGTACGAATACGTCGTCTTTGATTTAGCCATATTCCTTGATCTCAAATTCCAGCCTGTCGCATACACTTTTGAGAGGAGAGGACACAAACACGAAACCCAGAGCCTTGAGGCCCTTCACCTTCAGCTCGAAAGCGTCAGCAGCCATCCCTCTGTCCATTCGCTTCTATCCAAGCGCAAGGTAAGGATCCCACAGTTCTCAGCGCAACGCTCCTTCTCTCTCTAGGTGATACTGGTCCAGCTGCACGAGGAACCGCCTAGACTGAGACTCTTCTGGCGTCTTACAAGCCTCCATAATCTGTCGCAGGTTCCAAAGGAGCGCCTTACGTCTCTGCCACGCCTACGCCAAGATTAACTTCTTGTCCTCACACAGTCTGCACTGGCAAGTGAAGCTCCAGTTCTCTAGACATTTCTGCGTTACTTAGTAATTATCGCCAGGCTTAGGTTGCTGGTAGCGGATCAGCAACTCAGCGTCAACGTCGAGGTCTTTAGTGGCGCACACAATCGGCATGTTGCCAATAAAAGAGCAACGACAATTGCTAGCACAGGAATGCTTGATATGGGATGCAATAATCCAGGCGCCACAAGTAGTTTACGCGGCAGCTATGTGTTTCTGGGGATTTTCTATCTTCTTACAGCTAGATCTCGGTGTACCAAAGCAGTTTAAACTGACGATCCTTTCAACAAGAAACCTAAGAGGGTAAGCGCGGGGATAGGCAACAGCAACACATAATCTTCAACTCACGTATTAACCAATGCCCTTCTCGGTTGGTTTGCCACTATCTTAGGCTCTGAGGGCGTCGGCTAGCGTCTTTTCGGGGCGATCAGGGCTTAGCTTAGCTAGTGAGCAATTAAGCAGAGCGGCTTGTTCCTGCGCGACAGTCTTCGCAGGTGAGAGCGCATTGGAATACCTGATTAATAGTTAGAAGCTCTTGATGGTGGCCTTTATGCACTTACAAACGCTCAGTTCGTCCCTAATCCTGCTTTTTGACTGCTGCGTTCCCCCGCAGCTGAGTCTCTTCGGAGTTGCCGTCAATCTGTTTCAGCGATCTCCATCTCAGATCCGCTCATCCTTCACTAGAAGTTGAGTAATATCTCCAACATAATCCACCCGCAAGCTGTACGCGCCGTCGGTGGTAACCTTCAAGAATGATTCCTTAATAATACAGATGCTGTTCTGAGGGAGCAGATCGTCGGCCTACATGTTGTCGTTGTTGTTGTTCTATTTTTCGACCCCGTCAGCCTACATCCTCTGACTGGTTGTACAGCTGGAGCAGCACCACAGTACGTTCCTCGTCTTCCGCGATGACCTTAACGGCATTCAACCTGTCAGGAGGTGTCATCATCCGGATAAAGACTTGCTTGCCCCGGTGGCGTTCTTCCAGCATCATCTTCGAGATTACAAGAGGCCGGAGGCTAGCTGCAGATCGGACACAAGGAGGATACAGCTGGGGAATTTGCGTGGTGGAGTAAGTGGTTTGGTCGGCACTCCTAACAAGCGACGCAGATAGTGCCATCATAAAACGGGTTACAAGAATATTAGAGGGCGGGTAGGGGTCTTTCCCTTGCGGGAACCAGCTCGCTCCGCAGCCTGGTGAAGCCTTCAGAAAAGCGCGTTGATCTCTTTAACATTAGAAACATCTTTAGTATCCATAGCCACAGAAGTGGTGGAATCCTGTGGGGTTTGGTCGTTGATAGATCAGTCTTGAAAAAGGGCTGCCTTGCAAGCTCTGAAGAATAGGACAGGAGAGATGAAGGTCTGATCCCGCCAGAACGAAGAGAGCCCAAGGAAAGAGCCAAAAGTATACCTGGGATATGTCTCATCTGGGCTCCAGATACTTTGAAAACCCCGCGCCCGGCGGTAGTGTTATTCTTCGCGTGCGGTGGAGGATACGTCAGTTCTTTCTCTGCTGCGGGAGGCCGATCATGCGCTGTTTGCCTTCGTCAGGATGCGCGTCGGTCTGGTAGTAATACGTGAAGAACAACGATAATTCCTCTAGTGCAGCTGCAACTGAACTGTGGCCGGCTGCATACCTGCCGTAACTCCACCCCCATACACTAGCGCTAACCAGTGGGATGTGCACACATCACAATCGCAGCCAATTATTCTGCCTTGGTGCTGCCTCACGGTCGAAAGTAGTCACCGCCAGCAGCAGGAGCGGCTGACGCCGCAGCAAATGCTTCCTAGCCTCCAGGGTTTGCGAATCAAACCTGGCAGTCCTGCGTTTCCGTAGACCGCTGGACCAACCAGCCACAATAAGCGGCTGGAATGCGGACATGTATTCCGTTATAACCGCATCAATCGGTGTCTTGAATTCGGCGGACGGACATGTCCTGTGTGCCGGCAGGTTTATGCGGAGGGATGATTTTTGTTAAATTTGTTGGCCAGCGCACAGTGTCAAATATGCCTTGTTGATTTGGACCAGATTATATTCCCATATCACCCGTTCTCTCCTCGAAGTGAGATGTGGCAGGTAGTGAGTTGTGACTGACGACTCAACGCTCATCGCGGTTGTCACTGGGCGCATCGGCGTCCGTCCTGGTGATGAGGAAGAGAAGAACGTTAGACGAAGTGGGTGGAGTGTCAGTATGAGAGCACGCCTAGCCACCTCTACGTAATGGGAAGTAGTAGCTCAGCTTGCACCGGGGCCTGGCTACCACTTCATGGCGGGGCAGGCGGGGTGGGGCTCGGGCCGGGGTTCGGGCGTCGGGTCCGGGGCAAGAGCCGACATCCGCGGAGCAAGTGGGGTCGCAGCGTCGGAGGGCCGAGACCGCCGCTACGTCCGGCTGAGCCTGCGACAATGTTCGAGCATTTAATTTGCCGTAGCGCTATGGAATTACATAGCCAAATAACCCAGCAGCGCTTCCACCCACTCATACTTATCTTGTCCATCGCACCTATAACCTACAGGTACTTATTTTCATCATCGGCACGGAACTGCGGCCTCAATGTCAGATTCGTTGGACTTCTGCGCTGCGATTTATGCTTGGTTGGTCATCGTGCAAATTGCCTACCAACACGATGATCAACCGCTACTCAGATATCTACGAAAATGTCGCGGTATCGATCCTAGCAACGGGGCGAGGCTCCCATTATTGCCCCCCTCGTCGCATTCACCACGTTCCGCAAATCATCTCATGGATTCCACACAGGTCAGTGGGAAGCGTTTCAACATCGCAGTCGCAGACGTCCTCACCTACGAAACAGCTCAAGAGACTTACCCTCAAGGCCAGTAGCTTTATTCATCGCAAGTTCGCGACCAAGCGCCATGCCGAGTTACCCCCGTCGCTTAATAAACTCGTTACAGAGCTGGGGAGCATGAAATATGGCTTTCAGATATGGCGCATCATATGCGCACTGAGGTAAGTACTTGCCTTTTTACTCCCTACTACGGGCGCGCCATTCCCCATCCTGTCTCTGCCCCTGGAGATTCTGGCATAAACTAACTCTTTGCTCCTCAAACGCTGGGATGAAAATTTTGAAATACCAGACCACGCCTTCCTTTCGCTTCTCTGTTCTTCTGTTGCAGGCAGACAGCTTGATCACGTGAAATTCAAATCACTCAAAAATCCTTCATCCCGCAGGAACACCAGGATTTGCTTAGATCGAGCCCGTTGCGGACCCGGAACCAAGTTTACAACGTCTCCGTTCAAAGCTCCACCATCGTTTTGTTATCACCAACATCCAAGCGCAGATGCAACAGCCGGTGGTGTGCCCCCCGCCCCTGGTTCCTCATCTTCTTATGATCAATTTTTGCACTGAGGGGCCGACCTATCTACAGGCTAGCTGTTGGAAAAGTAGTCCTGTTAGTAAACTCAAGGGCGAATATCAAATTGAAAGAACATAATAAGATAGAATGTCCCAATTCGCAATGACAATACTTAGCAGGTGGGAAGCTTGCAACACGGAGCAAGAAAAATATAAAAGCTCATAGGTTCACGCTGCGAGGAAGGGCATCATGGACCTCAGCAGAGAACACTCAGACCAAGACGCATTTCCTTCAAGCTGTCTTTCCTATCCAATCTCGGCGCCGAACGGCTCATTTGTCGGCCGGAATGCGTCAGCCTTCCGCCTCCTCGACCGGTCGAACCTACAGCCTCGAGGCTGCAGGTACGTCAACCTCCCCCTCATCCTTACACTGTCATTGATCGTAGCACAACGGATGCGAGTAGTGACGCACCATGTATCCAGACCCCGACCACGAGGCTCCATATGCGCTGCAGTATCTGTCGCAGGCGGCCAAAGAGCTTTTAGTCATACATAACGTGCGTTGCCGTATAATCGCAGAACAGCCCAACATGTTTCGTCAGCCTGTTGTGCTCCGGCTCATGGTGTCAGCAAAGAGTGCCTAAGAAAGTACCATTGTGCCAGGAGCGCTGAGGAAGGACTCATATAAAAAACTTGTGATAGGCTGGATAACTCTGACACACTGCACGACTAGACGTCTATCTGAATGTGAGATTGAACATAGAAGGTATATTCATGTGTTCAATGCAAGAATGACCCGCTGTAAATTTGTTGTTCTCACATCTTTCATCATGCAAGGTGCACTGGCCGCATCTCGCGAGACTCGTCTCAATGGTGCTCGGCTCTACGCCACTCATGGTGGCTTCACCAGAGCCAGCCAACTAGAGGAGCGGTTCGATGCCTTCAAGCCGCAAGATATTCAAGATGTTGTCATCGTCATTCATTCTGCAGGCAGTAAACAAGACAAATGAGACAGCTACACGCCAGAGGATGGTCCGCCCGACCGATGCGGTTCGGTACCAGTTCTTTTAAAGGAGTGCTATGCAGCCTGGGGAGATGATAGTCGCCATCAGTGTCCGCGATAGTGCAGTACGCGCGGGCTTTGGCATCCTGCCCCGGCCTCCATCAAGTACGGCGGAAGTTCACGTCTTCATATTGCCCAGCTTCAGTTTTCCATCTACGATACTTGGGTGTGGTCCGCTGTCTGGACCAAGCCATGCCGTGATGTTCCTCGCTAATCAGGCTCAATCTGATGGCGGGGAGGGTTTTCGAGTGGTGGCTCGGTAAGCACACACAAGAGTATCATTCTCTTAGAAATAGGGACGAGTGGTGCAGGTTCTGATTGGCGGTGAGATACGCTCGAGGAGCAGCACCGTACTTAAGGAAGCTTATCAGATACGGTCACTCTGAACAAAATGAAGCAGAAAATACCGACGTCGCAGAGGAGCTAGGCATACACACTTGCGTTGGTTCCCCAGCGTCTGCGACACCTCAGCAAGTTTGCCGACGATGTGCTCATGATGGAAAGACGAAGAGGTGGTCACGCTCCCAAACCGCTGTGTCTTGTGGAGTTGTCGTGGCGCCGCTGGAAGGGAACGGCGTGGGAGGTACGTATAGTTTGTGGCCCTGCTCCACCGCGACTCAGCCAATTGATTTTAACCTCTCAGTCCTGACTGTGGGGCTTGTGCGAAATTTCGCACAGGAATGCTGGGCCTGGCCAATCAGCTGGAGCGCCACAGGCAGATTGGAGCCCGTGCGTCAGACGAATATTTCCCGCCTCCATCAACACAAAATGATTGGAAATGCCCCCCATTCGACTTCGTGGATAACCGCGCTGGTGACCGTTAGGATCTTGGAGGACGCTGTCTTGGTATCAGCGGCCCCTTCTGGTCGCTTCTGGGCTTCTTAGGCGCAGGGTCTAGGTGTTTTTGGATGTTAGTTAGTCCGAGAGCGCAGAACCAACGGATCGAGGAGCCAACGGGTGCGGTAGCCGGAAGGTCGTGCGTGCCGCCTCGCCCCTCGCCCTCGCTCGGAGGTCCAGAGGGTTCCCTTATAAGCTGTTCGTTTTTGATATTCTTGCTTAACTAGGTAGGGAGAAATCGTCCGAAAGTACGAACTTCGCGAAAATGGGTTATTTTTGCCCGATTACCTCGGTAAAACCACCATATTAATCCCTCAATGTGCTCGTACTATTCAATGGCTCTGATCTCAGCGACAATAGCAGTGTGGGAAATGCGCCTATCAGGCGCAACACATGGGCACTGAACGTCAAGATTTCCCCTCCAGACAGCGGACAGCGCACCAGGCGGCTGGCTGAGATTGACGCGCAGATTGCAGTCGTCTGTCACCTGGCGAGTGCAAAGCAGGGTTGACAGTCAAACCTTTGCGCCTGATGCAAGGCGCACGGACTGGCAAGTGCTGATAACCGTTGGCTACCTTTTCTGACTCCAAGCCATCAAGGTGTGCAGACAAGGTGCTCACGTAATGCAAGTCGTAGGATTTCCCGACCTGTGCCCGAGCCACCACCGCCACGTCCTTCAAGTCTGCTTGAGCCACAGATGCCCGCACAGGGGGCTTGGCACTGACATAATCACGGATTTTGGCAGATTTCCGCAGCACGTACCCCATGAGCGCCAGTCGACTTACCCAGACAGGCGACCGCGAATCCTCATATGCACCTCTCTACCGCCCGTCTTCCTCGGTCAGTTTGTCTTGATGAGTTTAAGGGTGCATGAATATCTGTATCGATACACATGCATGCGCATTCTGGATTCCGCTCTCTTAGAGTTACTTCCTTGGTTGAGCTTCAGTCGAAAGTTTTGCTGCGAGGAGAAAAGTGGAAGTGTTACAGTTGACGGAAGGCGGCCTTTTTAATGTCTAATGCGAGTGCCGACTACCTTACTGACCGCATGTCTGCGCAACGATCCCTTAGATATAGAAGGAAGGTAAGGCAGGCAGGCTGGGGCGGCAGTGCCTCGGAGGCAACGTTGGAAAGGACGGGACGGGACGGAACGGGACGGAACGGTGTACTCGGAAGGTGCGTTGCATGGACCAACCAAGATTTCGGTAGATCGAGGATGACTCAGCCCAACTCGATGGATGAAAGAGCAGGATCACCCAGCTCGTAGGGTAGGTGCGTGGTTGGGTCTGGCCAAGGTGGAAGGAAGTAACCACACCGTTGCATCTGCCTTGTGCAGTGCTAAGGCGGTCGTGGATGACACTATAGGGCACGCGAGAATGCTTCAGGGCCTCTCTCACACTGTCCTGGACGAACATCAAGTGCTCGCCAAAGTCGCCGAACCCCAGAGGGAGCAGGTTGGCACAGAAGCCCATGGCCGACAACTCGTCCATGGTGGAGCGGTTGGTGTCGGCAATGCCGATGGCGATGTCATCGCTGCCCGTCATGCGCGACAGCAACACGTGGTAGATGGCCAGGTAGAACTGCGTTGGCGTCGCCTTGTGCTTCCGGCTGCGGTCTTTGATGTGGAAAGCGACCATGGGATCTACACGCTTGATCGCCTCATTTTGATACCAGATGGTCGATGCTCCCTTTGGTTCTTGCGACGAGGCTTCATCGCTCGTCAAGGACTGCAAGAGGGCCAGCGGCGCGGACGCGGACGATTTGCAGTGCATGGATCTCCAGAACGAGATTTTTCTTCCCTTCTAACTTTTCTTCTTCACAGTTTGCCGCCTGGAGCTCCAGAACGAGATATCCTCGCCGAGACGGCCATCTTCCAAATCCTTGCGCTGCTGGGCAGCAAGGTCGGCAAACTGGACCGTCGGCTGCTTCAGTGGCACGTTGCTGTAGAGCTTTGCTGCTTCAATAAAGAGGTTCTCTGCGTTCGATCCGTCGCCGACGAGTCTGTGACAGGCAATAACTAACAAGTGCTCGTCGTTGCCCTAGTGGCAGTCGACGAGCCTGAGCGTATCGCTCCCCGCAATGTTATACTTTGTCTCGTGGAGCGTCTGATAATACTCTTCCGCCGCCGCTCGGTCTGAAACCAGCAGGATCTCGAGCTTGTTATCTATATGCTTGCGGATCGCTTGCTGAGGGATCTTGTCCGCTTTGCAGTCGTCACCACAGCAACTGCAGCGCTTCAGTCGGCCTTCTCATTGCCGGAGCATTCGCTAACGCCCAAGCAGTTCCCCCTTCCAATTGCACCAATCACAGCTCAACGAAGGTCTCAGTCAAGGATTCAAGGTCGCGATGGCTCAGAGAAACTACCCGAATGAGCCGATTGCAATTGTCGGAAGTGGGTGCCGCTTCCCCGAGGCTGCAAATATACCTTCAAAGTTATGGGACCTCCTGAAAGAGCCTCGCGATGTTCAGAGCAGGATTCCAAGGTAAGGTTCGACGTCGACACGTTCTACCATCCTGATGGCACCCACCACGGACGCACCAACGCGTCTTACGCGTATTTCTGAAGGAGGACCTGCATACCTTCAACGCACCTTTCTTCAACATCCAAGCAGGAGAGGCAGAAAGCATGGACCCTCAGCAGCGGCTTCTGCTAGAGACGGTGTATGAGGCTGTATCCAACGCTGGAATGCGGATGCAGGACCTCCAAGGGTCGTCCACGGCTGTCTATGTCGGAATGATGACCCATAACTACGAGACCGCTTCGACACGCGATTTGGAGAGTATTCCCGCTCACAGCGCCACGGGCGTTGCGGTGAGCATTCCTTCGAATCGCATCTCCTACTTCTTTGACTGGCATGGCCCGAGTGGAAGTGACCGACCCCTTTGATGCCTGCCTGGGTTTAGTTTGATATCTGTCCCATAATGCTAACCTGCTTCGCTGAACGCAGATTACGACTGACACAGCATGCAGCTCATCGTTTGCCGCCGTACATCTTGCAGTGCAACAGCTTCACAGTGGACAAAGCACCATGGCCGTTGCCGCTGGCGCCAACTTGATATTGGGCCCTATGACGTTTGTCCTGGAGAGCAAACTGAACATGCTGTCACCCTCGGGCAGGTCCCGCATGTGGGATGCTGGAGCCGATGCATATGCCAGAGGAGCAGGTTACCATCTCTCTGCTGGGCCTCGGCCGCAAGACATCTATTATACTACCACGTGTGGCACTCCAGGAAGCGGTGTGCTCTGTGGTCCTAAAGACATTGAGTCAAGCCCTGAAGGATGGTGATACGATTGAGTGTGTCATCAGGGAGACCGGAATCAACCAGGATGGCCGGATAACGGGCATCACCATGCCTAACCATGACCCTCAAGAGGCCCTGATTCGCGCCACGTACGCAAGGGCAGGCCTGGACATAAATAACCCCCAGGAACGCTGTCAGTCTTTCGAAGCGCATGGTAAGCGGCCGCTCACTGTTTGCCCGGAACTGTGTATGCCTGAGTCCAACGGTTGCTGTGCAGGGACCGTTACACCGGCTGGAGATTCACAAGAAGCAAATGCCATTGCATTTGCCTTCTTTGGGCTCTTTTTGTCGGAAGCATCAAGACAGTCGTCGGTCATACCGAAGGCACCGCCGGTATTGCTGGTCTGCTCAAAGCTTGATTGGCCGTGCAGCACGGTATCATCCCTCCGAACCTGTTGTTCGACAAGCTAAGCCCTCGCGTGGCTCCTTTCTATAACCATCTGAAAATAATGACCGAGGCCATTCCTTGGCCGACAGTTGCACCTGGCCGGCCTCGAAGAGTCAGTTTCAACTCATTTAGTAAGAGATTATCGACTTCGTGTATCCAAATAAGACAGAAAGAACAAACAACTAACCCATTTTGAACACATAGGTTTTGGCGGAACAAATGCGCACGCGATTGTGGAGGAGTCTCTGGGCCTCGATCAGAGCACGCCTATAGCTGAAGCTGTCTTAGAGGCAGAAACATCTTGCCTGCCTCTTGTGCTTTCGTCAAAATCGAACAAGTCAATGAAATCAACGCTAGAAAGCATGATTCAGTTTGTCGATACCCAACAGTTCAGCCTGCAAAATCTGTCTTGCACCTTGCTCGAAGAGCGATCCGTCTTGCCGTGGCGTCGCCACCGTCGGAAACAACAAGGAGACGCTCCGACTCGCACTGGAGGCTGCCATCGAGGACGGTGAAGTCTAGACTGGCCTCAGCACCGATACGAAGGGCAAGCCGGGCTGGGTATCTTCACAGTACATGGCGCGCAGTGGCCCGGAATGCTGAAAAAGCTCATCCTCGGCATACCATACACCGCACGCATTATCGAAGAGCTCGACGAAGCGCTGAGAACACTCCCCATAAGTATCGGCCATCATCGACGTTCCAGGATCAGTTGATGATGTTGGAGGGCGAGGCCTCCAACGTGAGACAAGCCAGCTTCTCGCAGCCATTGTGCTGCGTTGTGCAGATTGTACTAGTCAGACTCCTCTCTGCCGCCGGCATACATTTCAATGCGGTGGTAGGCCACAGTTCGGGCGAGGTCGCCCGTGCCTTTGCGACAGGATTCATCAGTGCTGCCCAGGCCATCCGGATCGCCTACCTTCACGGCGTTGTATCCGCCGAGCACGCATCTTCAACAAGCGGGCAACCTGGTGCCATGTTGGTGGCAGGCATGTCGTATGAAGATGCGAAAGAGCTTTGCGAAATGGAGGTCTTTGAAGGCCGAGTCTGTGTTGCAGCCAGCAACTCGCCCGACCGTGTGACCATCTCCGGTGATGCGGATGCAATCCAGCACGTGTAGGGTATTCTGGAGGACGCGTCCACCTTCGAAAGGCTTTTGAAGGTCGACGAGGCCTACCATTCACACCATATGCTTCCATGCGCCGTACCCTACGTACAGCTGCTGGAGGAATGCGATTGCGCCGTTGCCCGATGCCAACCCAACCCAGACCGGGCTTGTTTGGTATTCATCCGTCCAAGAGCACAACAAGGAGATGACTGCAGAGGATGTTACCGCCGCTTATTGGAAGGACAACCTCATGTCTCCGTTCCTTTTCTCTCATGCGGTCCAGAAGGCTGCCGTAACCTGCCGTGGGCTACAAGTCGGCCTTGAAGTCGGCTGTCATCCTGCTCTCAAGGGTCCTTGTCTTGCCGCCGTCAAGGACACCCTCGACGGAAAACAGTTGCCGTATACCGGCTGCCTAGAAAGAGGAGCCGATGACATGGCCGCTTTTGCACGAGGTCTCGGATACCTCTGGGAGCGCTTTGGAGTCCCGACCGTTAATGCTACCGGCTTTGCAAAGGAAGTGTCGCCACAGCGACCTTTTCAAAGCCTGGCAAAGGTCCTGCAGTTGTACCCCTGGGATCATTCTCGCCGCTACTGGACCGAGTCACGCTCTACAAGGGAGCATCTTCGTGAACAACACCCTCACCTCCTGCTCAGCAAGCTGTACTCCACCACATCGACGTTCTAGTGGAAGAACTTTGTGAGGTCCCGCGACCTCGAGTGGTTGGACGGCCACGCCCTCCAAGGACAGACCGTCTTCCCTGCCGCAGGCTGCATCGTTATGGCCATGGAGGCTGCCATGCGTGTGGCCAACGACAACAACTACGAAGTGGAGCTTCTTGGGATTGTAGACATGGACATCAGCAAGGCGGTGGTATTCCAAGACGACAACAGCTTGGTGGAGCTTAACCTCTCAGCCAGCGTGACCGGCGAGCCCGGCCAAGATGGTATTACTACGCATAAGTTCTTCATCGACTTGTGTCTCTCCAAGGAGAGTGAGATTTTGACTTCGGCCAAGGGAGAGATCATCATGGCGGTGGCTGACAAGTCATCCTTGCCCGCCGGCGACGACGAATCTGTCTTGCTGGCACCCGAGAAAGAGCACCCTCAAATGAACAGGGTCAACATCGATTCCTTCTACAAGGAACTTGACCTGATGGGGTATGAGTACAGCAAAGACTTCCGTTGTCTGAAAACCATGAGACGAGCTGACGCCAAAGCCACTGGCACCCTTGCGTTCCTCAAGTTGTAGGACGCTGGACGGTGCCAGCCTCTGCTGAAGCACCCGGCGCCGTTGGATATTGCCTTCCAGACCGTTATCGGGGCTTACTTGTTGCTGGGTAACTGATGTCTGCGCTCACTATACGTCCTGGCCTATATCGACAGAATCTCCTTGGTCGTATCGCTCTGCCTGGCGGCTACTGAGGCGCAGACGAGTTCGCGTTTAACATCACCAACACATGACAAGGGCGACTTCCTGAGTGGCGACATCACCGTATTTAGTGCCGAGAAGAAGACACTTCTCTAAGTTGAGAATATTATGTTCAAGCCATTTCCTCCCCGATAGCATCTACAGACTTTCGCATCTTCGCTAAGTGATTCTGGAATCTTCTTGTGCAAGACAAGATTCTAGATGATCTGGTATATTGGGTAATGTAGTAGGGTAAGCAGGCCACACTAATTATTGAAAGCGTCGTCTACTTTCTAATTAAGTCGTTCCTCCAGTCCATGGATGTTATCGAGATCGGTAAGTCCCAGAAACAATACGCCAAAATCGCCTTCCTGATTGTTTGCTGTGTTTCATACTCACTGGCCTGTTATTCCTCTTAGGCGCGGGCACGGGCGGCGCTACGAAGCACATTCTGTCAAGGCCGCAGCTTGGACTCAACAGTTACACGTACACCGACATCTCGACCGACTTCTTTCAGCAAGCTCGCGTCAAGTTCGCCGAGTTCGACACGGGAGAGCCCATGCAATTCGAGTCTCTCGATATCCGTTGGAGCCGCGCAGGAGAAGGCTTCAAGGACCACCCGTACGATCTCATCATTGCATCCAACGTCCTCCATGCCACCCCCAAGCTCGAGGAGACCATGACACTTGAGATCACCCACCGTGAGCATAGCCGACTCGGCTTTCTCTTCGGCTTGTTCCCCGACTGGTAGGCTGGCGTTGACGACGGCCGGGTTTTGGAGCCATTTGTCTCGTACGACCGGTGGGACGCCATCCTGAAACGTGCTGGATTCTCGGGCATCGAGAGCCGTACTTTCGATGGAGATGCCAACCTGTTCCCCACGTCCGTTTTCAGCACGTACGTCGCTGATTCCAGGATCGACGCGCTGTACAATCCTCTGTCTGCCCCCCTCAAGACCTCCTACCCAGCATTGTCGTCGTCGGCGGCAAGTTCCCAGAGACACGACGCATCACAGAGGAGTTGACTAGTATCCTTCCGCAAAGATCCGTTCAGTCTTTCACCAGTCTGAACGAGCTCGCGTCGGCGGACCAGCAGCTTAAGTCCACCTTTGTCGTTTTGTCCGAAATCGACGACGAGATCTTCGCTCACCTGGGCGAGGCCAAATTCTAGGCCGTCAAGAACCTGCTCTTCCTCGCCAGAAAGATGCTGTGGCTGACGGAAAGTGCCTGGATCAACAACCCGCACCAGGCCAGCACCATCGGCATGTTGAGGTCAATCGCGCGGGAGCATCCAGAAGGCCGATACCACGACCGTACGTGTCCGCTACGCTCTTTCGCAGGCCATACGTGTGAGCCACCTTGGATTCTTCCACCTTGTGCAAGGGAACAATCTGGACGGCGCCTCCGTGGCGGCCCTCTCGGAGCAAAACGCGTCCATGGTCCATATCTCTCAAAACGACGTCTTTGCGGCACCGAGCAATGTGGCCGATAAGGCCCCTGGCGAATTCTTGATGTCCGTGGCGGCAACACTCATGGGCGAAGCCGTTTCCCGTCAAGCCCAAGATTCCGGTCCCGCGGCTTCAATTCTCGTTTTTGAGCCGCCGAGCTTTTGCATCAGGATCCTGCTAGAGGAGGCCGAGCGACGGGACTTTCAGATCTGCTTCGCCACGACATGGTCGAGCTTCAAGAGCACCTCCTCCCCCGCCAGTTCCGCTCGATGAATCACCTTGCACGGCAAAGAGACTGATAGCCGGCTGAAATAGATTCGCCCGGCCAACCTCACGGCTTTCTTCGACATTGGATGTCGACCAACCAGCCCGCCGTTGATATCGGCCATCGCCTGGCCAATATGCCTTCCCCTAATTACTACAAGTATGGCTGCAATTACATCGTCCGCAGCACAGCTTGGTCATCTTCCAGAGCCTCGGCTCAAGAAGCAAACGTGGTCGAACAGTCGATCGTTGCTGCGGCGGGCAGAGCTATTGGCAACGGACTTTACTAACTCTTCCCTGCGAGTCAGTTTTCTTGATTAAGTGACAAGCGCCTGGAGCTGTCCGCTCTGGTTGACTGGAAGGCGGAGAAGCCGTTGTTGGCAAAGGTTCGCCCAGTCGATTCAGGCAACCTCTTTGTCAACGACAAGACCTACCTGCTCGTTGGCCTCACCAGAGACCTTGGGCGGTCCTTGGCCCGGTGGATGGTCTTACACGGCGCCAAGTATGTTGTGCTCACCAGCAGAAACCCTCGAGTTGATCCCAGATGGATTGCCCACGTTGAAGCTTTGGGCGGAAAGGTTACAAGTTTGCCCATGTATGTTGATGCAGTCCACCAATCCCCCTTTCCCATCTTTTGGCATTTCATTGTCGTTTCCTGACCCCGAATCTAAACTTTCTTTTTTCGGATGTTGCTAACCAAGAGTCGGTCGACGCTGGCTTTGCTAAGCTTCAAGACTTGAAGCTGCCGCCTACGGCCGGCATTGCCTTTGGGCCTTTGGTTCTTCAGGATGCCATGCTCAAGAACATGGACCTTTGGAGCCCAAGGTACGGGGCGCACAGATCCTCCACGAGAGGTTTTTCGACCCGGACGGCAGCAATCCGCTCGATTTCTTCGTCATGTTCTCGCCCATCGTGGCGGTCATGGGCCACCCCGGCCAGGCCAACTACAGTGCGGCCAATTGCTACCTGCAGGCTTTGGCTCAACAACGGTTGTCCAAGGGATTGACGGTAAGTCAAAGCTCCGATTACGGTTTCTTGCCATCATGCTGCTTTCGATCATCGGCGTCTGCAGAGCTCAACTGACCGTTGTGATCAACTCCAGGGTTCGACTGTCGACATCGGAGCCGTCTATGGTATTGGATTCGTCACTAAGGCCGAGCTTGAGGAGGACTTCAACGCGATCCGGTTCAAGTTCGACTCGGCCGAAGAACACGAGCTTCACACGCTGTTCGCCGAAGCCGTCGTGTCCGGAAAACAGGCGCTCGCGAGGTTTCAGAACGAGGAGAAGCGTAAAAGGTCCGTGATTGAGATGGCAGACGTCGAATTGACCACGGGCATCCCCGCACTTGACCCTGCTCTCAAGCAGCCTTTCACGTTTTTCAACGATGCTCGTGTTGGAAACTTCAAGATTCGCGAGCAGCGCAAAGATTCCACGGCGGGCGGCGGCGACAAGGGTTCCGTCAAAGAACAGCTGCAGCAGGCAATGACCTTGGGCCAGGTTCGACAGTTCGTCATTGGTAAGCGCCCGAATCTGCCAACAGTTGCTTCCCTCTGTGCCATTTGGTTTTGGTTTCTGGGAGCGCATCAAGCTGATGAGTCTTTTAGATAATTTGTCGGCAAAGCTGCGTGTTACTTTGCAAATTCCGGATGGGGAGGACCGCCACCCGGATGTTCCCCTCATGGACCAAGGTGTCGACTCTCTGGGGGCCGGCACCATTGGTTCCTGGTTCTCGAAGCAGCTGCTCCTTGACCTTCCACTATTAATGGTGTTTAGCGGTGCGTCTGTGGCTGACCTGGCAGACGACGCCGCTGCGCGACTGCCGGCGAGCGCCATTCCGTTGGTGAACCAAGGAGAGGACACCAACGCGGACAGCTCCGACGATACCAGGTCCAACACGGCGACGAATGAAACTTCTGCCGGAACGCCCCTTACTGGCTCGGTCGACTCGTTCTCGGATGGCGGGGCCGAGGCATTCGACGATGACGACGGACCCGTTGTCGTACGGCACGAGAGAATTTCCCTGGCCCAGGAATAATCCTGGAAGGTCCAGCAGGGGAATGAGGACCCCACCGTCTTCAACAACACCATCGGCATGTTCATGAAGGGCGCCATCGATCTCGAGCGGTTATCGCGGTCTCTGAGACGGTGTTCGTGACCGGTCGGCGTAGACAGTATGGACGAGCCTCGGGCCAGTCCTAGGTGCGAGCTGCAGCTGATTCTTCTGCCTTCTGCCGCAGGGTCTTGACGGGGCTCGAGATGGTTTCGGTTGTGCTGGTTTGAGGGCGGGAGAATCGTGCAAGGGGACCTACAAAGTCGAGATTGTCGTCGAAGGTTGGCTGCCGTCTGTGTTTGGGCCGGGAAACGCTGGCCGCAGGCGTCCACGGTAGTGCTGGAAAAGCACCTGGTCCTGGACGCGCGGCAGAAGCTGGTACGAGAGGCGGAGAGGGTGGAGGAGAAGAGCGCGGCTGTATCGTGGGCAGCGTCGCGCGCGCTGTTGACAGCGCTCTCTGTCGCAGTGATTTGATGTTTGCTGGTGATTGCCCTTGCTTAAGGTAAGGTATGGTGCTGAACGGATCAAGCGCAAGGATAGCCCCCAGGGAAGGGCGAGGACGGAGGGATGGTCGCAGATGGATAGAACGAATCAACGCAGCCTCAGCCGTCGCAACAAACGGGGTCATTTCTTGCTCCCCACCCCCGGACTGAGATGTACTGTAGCAGATGCTTGAAGAGGGGGCATTGCGATGGGATGCAGACAGACAATGAAGGGCGCCTGTGGTCTGGGTTCAGGGGG